TTCTGTTTGGTTTAGCTTTTCTTCTCAAAAGTTTGATTCTCTTGGGGCCATTGGTTTCCTTTTAAGGTGCGATTTTGAGCCATCAAAATTAAAGTGTAAATTATCATATTTTCATAGTCAGGTATTATTATATTGGAAATTAATATACAAACACAACTTTTCGCCACATAGTTGTTCTTTGTGGAATAATAAGTGTATTCTTATTAAGAGGAAATCTGTGTTTGGTCCATTGTACACATTATGGATGGGGATGGAAATTTTCTTGGTTATGATGATTTTTGTAAAAAAATACAATATTATTTGTACTCAGGAATTATATGTTTCTTTGTTGAAAGCTGTTCCTGCTGGTTTGGTTCAGCTGATTAAAGGTGCATTGTGTTATTCACCTGTGATACCAAGATTAGGTAATCTAATCATCTCTGGTATTAATTGTACAGAGCAGAGCTGTAATAACAAGGTTTTAAGAACATTAGTAAATACACAGACTTTCCCTTCTAAAGTAAAGAAGAGACCCCTTGTCTATGATTTTCCTGAAGATAAAGTGGTTCGAATTACAACAAGATTTCTCTCTTTTCCACTTCGACCAAAGGTAAAAGAAGTTCAGTTTAAAATGATTAACGATATGTATCCCTGTAATGAGTTCCTCAGACACAGGTTTAATTTGGATTGTAATGGATGCACCTTTGGTGAAGCAGACTCGTTGGAACATTTGTTTTATTTATGCAAATTCTCAAAAAAATTATGGGATGACCTCTATGCTTGGTTAAGTTTGAAGTATGTAATACCTGACTTTGATTTTAAAACTGTAAAATATTTGTCCTTTTGTCAGAATTGTGATGTTGAATTTTTGGTTAATAATATTGGGATTTTGGCCAATCCTCCACATGAACTAAAAATACTATATGATCGCATTAACCCCTTTAACTGAGGATTTATAGACGTGCCTTGTCTTTTAGAACTAGAACAATAGGACAGGGATACATTTATTCACAGGAATACTTCACCACGAACACATTACATGCTCATAGAACACATACCAAAGACACTATATTTATCTTAATATGGAGCTAATTAAAGACAGCAGGGAGAGAGAGCAGATTGGTGTTTGAAAAGATAATGTAGTTGGTGCAGACAGTGGAGACCATAGAGGGACTCAGTGATCGACAGAGACAGGCAGCACCAACAGCTGAGTCTAAGAATGGAGACAGCAGCAGAGAGGAATGAAGATACAGTACACAGGTTAGGCTAAATATGGCTGAATTGAAAAGCACCCCAGTAACTGTACACAGCATTTAGTGACATTTAAACAGCAGTGAACCACTGACATTTTAAGAGCACTACTTTCTGCTCATCCACTGAAAAGAGAACCAAAATGTGTCATAATCAAGAGGTTTAAGAGTTAATGAAATTCATATTAGCTGTTGTGAACATTCACGCACATTTGTCATTTTTGTCCAGTTTTTTTTTAGCAGCAATCGTTTGGTTACAAGGCGTTTTCACACAGAACTGTCTAATTGCAACATGACACCCGCCAACACCAACAGACAGAAGGCGACAACATTTCTTTTTCTGTTCTGAGGGGGTGGGGAGCGAGTGGGCCATGTGAAAGGTGCCAGAGACCCTCTGTTAGAGCAGTGGTGCTGCTAGAGAAATGAAAGAGTCCCACGGATACAAAGAACATGGAAATCAGGAATGAACAGGATTTTCTTTCTCTTGGATGCAAGGAGTAAACGGAAGTTGTTGGCTGCAAGAACATAAAGCGGGGAGTGCAGATCCTGGAAAGATACAGATAGGAGAGCTAGGCCATGAAAATCTCTTGAAGGTTAAAGGACACAGAGTGTAAGAAGAGGAAACTACTAAAGTAGCACATGCCATTTGTATACCTGGATTAAATGCAACAGTATATGTGACAGATTCTATAGATTACAGAAGCATATCTACAACATACATTGCCAGAAAAGTGATTCCAGTAAATGAGATGATCCTTTTTCAAACAGTTAACTGAAAAATACATTTGCATTAATCATTGGACAAGCTTACATAAATTGTGTTTGTTTGTTTTTTTACATTTACGTCAGGCAAATTTTACAACACATTGCAGCTGTCACTGAGGAAGTTTTTGTTGGATTCTGAAAGGAACTGGACTTTAAGAACAGCCAATCCATATTATCTGAAGTAGGTGCTTTGTGTTATTCACCTGTGATACCAAGATTAGGTAATCTAATCATCTCTGGTATTAATTGTACAGAGCAGAGCTGTAATAACAAGGTTTTAAGAACATTAGTAAATACACAGACTTTCCCTTCTAAAGTAAAGAAGAGACCCCTTGTCTATGATTTTCCTGAAGATAAAGTGGTTCGAATTACAACAAGATTTCTCTCTTTTCCACTTCGACCAAAGGTAAAAGAAGTTCAGTTTAAAATGATTAACGATATGTATCCCTGTAATGAGTTCCTCAGACACAGGTTTAATTTGGATTGTAATGGATGCACCTTTGGTGAAGCAGACTCGTTGGAACATTTGTTTTATTTATGCAAATTCTCAAAAAAATTATGGGATGACCTCTATGCTTGGTTAAGTTTGAAGTATGTAATACCTGACTTTGATTTTAAAACTGTAAAATATTTGTCGGAATTGTGATGTTGAATTTTTGGTTAATAATATTGTGATTTTGGCCAATTACTTCATTCATAAATGCAGATTCTTTAATAACCCCCCCCCCCCCCACTCCAAAATTTTTTTTTAATACTCTTACGATCCTCAAATCTGGCCCACGAGATCCACTTTCCTCCAGAGTTTAGCTCTAACCCTAATCAAACACACCTGAGCATGCTAATCAATGTCTTCAGGATCATTAGAAAATCACAGGTAGCCGAGTTTGATCAGGGTTGGAGCTAAACTCTGCAGCGCATTGCACCTCCAGTATAAGATTTGAGGAACCCTGCTCTAGGCTATGTGGAACTGGATGAGGAGTAATTTCTTACTGCTAAATTCTGAAAAAACAGAGGTGTTAATTTATCGGACCAAAAACCTCTGCAAGTAATAGCCTAGAACACTGTCTAACACTTGATGGCTGCTCTGTCAATTCTCACTATTAGTCCCAGTTGTGCTGGTTAGACCCTGCTCCGGAGTAGGAGCTAATTTGGTTCTCGAAAAAGGCAGTCCGGTACTAAAATCGCTCCCAATTCCGGCGATGCGAAAACGCCAAAAAGTGAGTAGTTCCACAGTTCTGGTACTATGAAAAGGTTCCTGCGGTGCGAAAGGCCCTCTTGTCTCCTAGACGGCCACCGGGACAAAACCACAGGAACCAGTTGAGTCCTCTGCACAATCTGACTTTGCTGCAGCCTGGAATTGAAATGCTGGTTTCATCTGGCCAGAGAAGGACTGGCCCCCCGACTGAGCCTGGTTTCTACTAAGGTTTTTTCTCCATTCTGTCGCCGATGGAGTTTTGGTTCCTTGCCGCTGTTGCCTCTGGCTTGCTTAGTTGGGGACTTGATTGCACAGACACTATTTAAACTGAACTGACATGATGATGTGAATGAGACTGGATGATGACATCACTGAATTCAATGATGAACTGCCTTTAATGCAAAACGACAATAGTAAACATTAAATTCATTCAGTTAATGACGCACTATTTTCCTATTTAATGCTGTAAAGTTGCTTTGAGACAATCTGTATTGTTAAAAACGCTATACAAATAAAGGTGACTTGACTATGTTGGAAGAGGAAAACGAAGAGAGATGCAAGGCTTTTACTCCGAAAACACCCATCCAGGGTTTTGCAATGATTGGTTCAAGATGCTGGAGGAGTAACTCGGTAAAACTCCTCAGTTCCATAAATGCAAATACCTCATGATTGCTGTTAGTGACTCTGATTGACATTTGTCTACTTGCTTACTGGATGTATTTTATACTGTTTATATTGTATAGCACTGACTTTAACATACCAAGCCTGTTACAAATTGAATGGCTACTTTTATTATATACATATGTTGTTTCTTGAAATACTACAAATGTAAAAAAAAAAATGACAGCAAAATATGATTTTATGTGTGTGTATATATAGCCTATATAATAAATATACAACATACACCTAGTAATAAGTGCCTCTCATAAATAAATATATATATATAAATGTGTTTGTGTGCATATCTTTCATTATTTCACACAAACACTGATGTACACATGCATTCACACATTCAGCTGGAATTTAACGTTTAGCCAAATTATCTTTTTTCTTTGTTTATATTTGATAAATCTTTTCGATCAAAAAATATACAATACTGGCCTTTAAACTTATTTAAATAAGTATTAAAAATTATTATAAATTTATATAACGCTGGCAGCCTCCTCCGATTTCCGGTATTTAGGGACAGCTGCCGTCCGGTTTTAGTGGCAGGTGCTGTCTGCTGCCAGTGGCAGCCACTTCCTGCTGAAAGCTGCCAATTTTTCACCGAACCCCCTCTCCTTCTAAAACCTACTGAGGCTATTTACATATCTACATCGAGCACCAAACAAAAGACAAATCAAAAAAGGGAATAAGGGAACAAGAGGGTCGGCTGTAGGTAGATGATCTTACGTAATAAAACAAACAAAAATGTCTGCATCTTTGTAAAATTTAAATAATTAAGTGGTAAAGACCAGACTGAACATGCAGAGTACTCAAGTGAAGGTGATCCTTTTCATTATATTCTCAAAATACAAACATACCAAGACGCAATGGACAGATGATGTGAAGAATTATTGTTTACCTTGGACATCCCACAGGTCTTCATCTGCCACCTCACATGTGATGGCAACAAATGAAAAGAAAAAAATTGTCAGTGAAATAAATTAATCATCACTTCACAAATATCACAAAATATTTTTATTAAGGAAGCTGACAGTTACAATGCATGAAATTAACTATAAAAAAGTATATAAAAATATTTCTAAAAATAAAAATCAACAAACAATACACACTCAAACAAAATGAATGAATTTACAAGCTAGTTAATGTTAATGATGTTGTTGTGTGGTTCTGGTGTTTGTGATGGTCAGAGATCCAGTCTGATTGTCCAGCTTCAGTCTGTCTCTGAATCGCTCTTTACACTGATCATCTGTACAGATCTTACGCTGATCTCCAGTGATTTCAGCGATGAGAGTCTCATTAAAATACCATGTCATCTCATCATTCGGGTTTTTTATTACACCAGGATCTAAAGTAACAGCTTTTCCCTCCATTACTGATATTGTCTTCACTTTACCCAATTCTGCATCAGGAGCATCTGAAACACAAACCAACAGCTGCTTGAAAGATCTTTTTTGGCAGGTGCTCTATCTTGACTTTCAGCATGAAACACAACATGCATGCATTTTGTTTCAAAAATGAATGTTTCATTAAATGTCTCACCAAGAACAGTAACACTGAAGGTCTTTTCACTGATGCTGCTGCTACTGAAGATCTTCAATTGATACACACCAGTGTCTGCAGTGTTGATGTTTTTGATGGTCAGAGATCCGGTTTGGTTCTCTAGATTCAGTCTGTCTCTGAATCTCTCAGTGCCATTATTACACTGAACATCTGTACAGATCCTGCTGAGATCTCCAGTGATAACAGCGATGCGGGTGTCATTAAAATACCATAACATCTCTTCTTGTTGTGTTGTTGTAATATAAGTGTATAGAGTAATTGAATCTCCCTCCATCACTGATACTGTCACTCTTTCCGTAATAACACTGAAAACACCTGGATAAAAAAAATTATAATTACAAATCATGCCTGGGGTAGTGGGACATGATTATTCAACAAAAAAGTAATCATTAAAAAAAGCATAAGAAAAGCATCATTGATTCACACATTCACTCATCAGACAAACGCGCATGAGTCACATGGATGATCTTCAACAACTTAGTGAACACCTTAAAACCCACTTTCATATATTGCATTGCACACTGGCAGGCACACAACCGGGGGTGTTTCCCAAAAGCAACTATGGTTGGGGAGTTCGGCAAAACCTGTGATCACAGTTTGTTAACGATGCTTTGGGGAAATGCACCCCTGGTTGTGATTATTGCACCGGACTGTCCAAGGATTGCCTCCCTGTGCTCACGTACCGCATTTTAATGCAGCCGTCTACTCTTACTCCTGTTTGGTTTATTCTATATAAATTCTGTAAAATTTAATAAAGTATATCCTGTCTAGATGCTGATTTCCCACTATTTAAGCTGTTTAATACTGAATATGAATCTGAACATACTACTACACTTATAGGATTGATTTCTTCCACCCACTGCAAAGCCATTAGAATTGCCATCATTTCTGTTGTGAATACAGATACATCGTTAGATAACCTTTTAACTGTACTATATTTAAAATAGGGAATATATATGGCTGCTGCTGTATACCCAGAATCTGGATTTTTTTTTTTACCCATTCGTATATATTTGAATACTATTAAAATAGTTTTGTTTCGAATATTGATCCACTCTTTAGGCATACACCTTTCCTTTTCATTTATTTTAAAATGCAACTGGAGATCTACCATTGGCATGCGGAACAGCCAAGGGGGTATAATTGGTATTGCTACCGTTGAACTTATTTTTATGTCATTAACTCCTACCTTCTTAGCATCTGCGTTGGCATTCCATCCAAAACTACAATAATTTACATACTCATGTTCCCAACAATACATTTTGGGTTGATTTAAGTTCTTATATTTTTAACTCCACTAATGTGATCCACAGTTTTATCCTTAAAGCATTAAAAAAAATTACAAAAACCCAAAATCGTTATCTCTTGAATATTTTGTTAATTATTTTATGTGCAAAATGTTTTATCAACAAGGCTTAAATCACCTTTGTTTTCTTGTTGAATTTAACTTTTGTTTCATCGCTGAGACTTCTAAAAAAAAAGCATCATGATGAATTATTTAAAGATATTTAACCTTGTCACTTTTTTTCTGTGTATATTATCTCATACTATGATGAACACATGAAATGTTTGTTTACTGTTTAATGCCATATTATGATTGTTCATTGTTAGATACAACCATCTTTCCCTGATCTTTTATGTAATTATAAGTTCGGCAATAATAATAATAAAAAAGAGGGACAGGTGCACTAACACCTATTAACTCAATCTAGTACCGTTTTCCTCAGCTTTTGTAATATCTGCACAAAGGATATGTCGGGCAGCTGCTCGAAGATCTCACCTTTGGAGAAGACTGTTGATTTTATACTCTAAAAATGTAAGTATTACTACGTAAAAATTAAGATTACCCCAGAATGAATTGCATAATTTGCCCACCCCAACACTTACATGCAATAATAACGATAAACGCCAACTAATAATTATATAACTTATTTTTTCTTAAAATAACATTTTAGTAAAACAAGCAAAATTTTATTTTTGTCGTGACATAGCTATACATGAATATACACTAGTTCAACAAATGCAGTCGATGTGAATACATACATTTTCAGGCAAGCAATTAATACAAGAATTAATAAAATATTTATATAAATTTGGACATTTTCACTTAGGGGTGTACTCACTTTTGTGACCAGCAGTTTAGACATTAATGGCTGTGTGTTGAGTTATTTTGAGGGGACAGCAAATTTACACTGTTATACAAGCTGTACACTCACTACTTTACATTGTAGCAAAGTGTCATTTCTTCAGTGTTGTCACATGAAAAGATATAATAAAATATTTACAAAAATGTGAGGGGTGTACTCACTTCTGTGAGATACTGTATACAAGGCAACAACAGATGAAACAAAGCTTCATTCAAACTTATTGTTCTATCAATCATGTATTTACAGATGGTGAACCCCACATCCTACTGCCATCTCAACACAGCTGTGCCAGTTCTGCTGCTTCACAATCTCGCTCTTCTCAATGGGGACATCGTTGAGCAAGAGGATGAGGAAGACCATGATGACGGCTCTCTAAACCACACAAGCTAGAGGCAAGAGCAGGGGAACACATGCGGGACAATCTGGCTGCCACTGTGTCTGCTCCAAACATCTGTGTGCTGCTCTCCATGAGCACGACTACCTGTAAAACATTTACACAGAGTGAAAAATTTTACATCTCATGTTGTCAGCTTTCCATTTCTTGCCAAATTTCATTTAATGTTTACAATTACATACATTTTTTTTTTTTTTGTAGCTTTAATACTTTTGTAGTGGGCTAAACCAGTGAAGTGGTGAGCAGAAGGTTGCTGGTTCAAAACCACCACTATGTCCCTGAGCAAGGCTCTTTTCTCCAGGTCGATCCAGGGGATTGTAGGTCCCTGTAATAAGAGTGCTGTAAATCACTTTGGATAAAAGCTTCATGACATTTTTTGATGATGCTTTTGAAGCTTCTGAAAGTCAGCCTTCATTGTATGAACAGAAACCAGCAGAACAAACTTTACCAAAATCACATCCTCAGTGTCTTTTGGTCTTTCTCTAGATGCTCCAGCTAGCTCTGGGTTCACTGAGGATGAAGAGACCACAGCAACATCCGGTCCTGATGAGACAGTAAGGGCAGTGATGGAGCGTCTCATCCATGGCACTGGACCATTTCCAGGATGCTGCTGTGGACTTCTCCATCCTCACTGCTCACACCAGTCTGTGGACATTTCAGATCATACAAAAACCCCCTAACATAATACAAAATCTGTCATTTTAACACCATAATGTAATCTGATCTCTGTATTAGAAGTAACAAAATGATCTTACTTCATCCTTTTGTTTCAGGTTTTCCCTTTTTTCACAAATGCCGCCGTCACCTTTCCTTGCAGGTCCTGCTCCACCACAAAAGATCTGCAGCAAATGCACAGAAATCAAGAATCAGAAAAGTGCTGTAATAGTTGTTTAAAATTACAATAATTAAAATGAACTACAACTTAAGATTTAAAATAGTTTTATTCATTTCTGTAGTGTACTCACTCAAAGCCTTTGATGGCAGCATTCCTTCATCAGTCACTCTGCAGCGGATAAACACACGTGTGTCTCGTCTGTCCCTGTAACATCCAGACAAGAGTCAAGTTACCTCTGTGATTTATCTGCTTTACACTATATTTACATGTTGAGGTAGTTGCTGATGTAACTCGCTTTTTATCCAACACATACGTTCCTTAAATTATCAATATTACAAATGGACAAATAAAATAGACAACTTATGTTTAGTTACTTTATGTAGATTTGTTTGTTTACATGACTCACATTCATCAAAAACAGTGTTGACAACAGTGAATTCTTCATAATAGCACACATACATCACTCAGATGCCTGTTTCAAGTCTATTAGATCTAAGCTCATCTGCAATACTAATCAAAGACTATCCTGTCAGATGTTAAATAGACATTTAGTAATCGTCTTTAAGATGTATATATGGTTCATGTAAATCCACTTTTGAGACGTATGTGTACTTCATGGAGCTCCCCTGTTAGTTATGCATTATAAAACGTGTTTTTACAGAAAATGCTATATTATGTAGGTCACAGACAGGGTTTAGATTAAGCCGGG